TGTAAACACCCCCGTATTTAGGGGTTATATGTAATGAATTGACCCGGCTATCCCCCAGGGGCTGCACTCTCTTGACCCACCTATCCCCCAGGGGCTGCACTCCGTTGACCCGGCTATCCCCCCCAGGGGCTGCACTGGCTTGACCCAGCTATCCCCCCAGCCCCAAAAGTGCACTCAGTTGACCCAGCTATCCCTCCAGCCCCAAAAGTGCACTCAGTTGACCCAGCCAACCAGGCTCCTTATACTACTTACGGTCACAAATACATTAGCAGAGATGAAAAAAAGTTGTAGAAATTAACAGAGTGTGTCATTTTTGTTGTGGTGGTTCCACTACGGATGGTCTTGTAGATAAACTGGAAATTGTTGTAAAAGTAAATCATACATAAAGCCGCCAGTATTCCAAATGTTCCACTGGTTCGTAGCGCAGTACAAAGCCTCACAATGTCTTTTTTTTCACACATTATATTTGTAATGCTCATATCCCTTAACCAGTTGTGAGAAAGAGAAAATTGTGTTAGCAAATGGAAAGAGCTGAGAGACGGGAGAGAACTGACGTTTGAACGATTGAGCCACACGTTTCGAAAAGCATTTTGATAACCAGCTGTACTACCGAATTCTCTTGTCCTTGGATCAAAGTTGACATTTAGTATGGGGCATAACACCATGCCGTCCAACCATACTTGGATACATATAGCCAAACCAAATTGGGCTATAGTATGTAAGTATTGCCCATCCATATAGAGCATAGCACCATGGCGCCCAGCTATGCATGGATTCATATAGATCAACCATGTAGAGTTATAGTATTTATAGCCAAACCATATAGGGCATAAATCCATGTTATATACATTGGGGAAAACCTGTTTAAAATAACCCATGAAACTTTCATGCATCAACTCCTATGGCAAATAATGAAGAACAAGGAAATCGACTGAACGTAACATTTACAAGGTGAACAACAACGACAATAAACCCTAATAGTTGTAGATACACATCGGTCATTCAGTTGCATTGTCTGATATACCAACAACATAAGTTCTATGATAAAACAATTCACAAGCTACCCCATTTGACCACAACAATGTATTTGAATTCAAGTTTTATACCACTTTTTGTAAGTTGACTTTATCGGTGGGGATATTTAATGGTAAATTTGTTTAACCCACCCACCCCAAAATAAAGAGAGAGAGAGAGAACTTAAAATCTTTGCAAAATGAGACCTGATTCATTCCCATGAGACTCTTTGCAATAGTAAAGAGAACTTTCTTACATCGGAAAGACTTATTCTTGCAGTAAAAATGACGCCATAAACAGCATTTTCTTAAATAAGGGAATTTTTTTTAAAGTTTCTGTTTTCTTTTGTAATTCAATATCTATATGCCGTATTAACTTTTTTGCACAAGAATAAATCTGGAAGTTGTGACTTTTCATTAGATATGCGCCCGTTGGGGATCAGGGTTAGAATAGGTCCTCAGTACCTCCTTGCTTGTCGTAAAAGGCGACTAAATGGGGCGGTCCTTTTGATGAGACCGTATAAACCGAGGCCCCGTGTCACAGCAGGTGTGGCACGATAAAGATCCCTCCGTGCTGAAAGGCCTTAAGTGCCGAGCATAGGCCTAAATTTGCAGCCCTTCCCCGGCAATGGTGACGTCTCCATATCAGTGAAATATTCGGAGAGGGACGTTAAACAGTATATAATCAATCAATCATTAGATATGCTGGTACGTGGTATTGGTTAAAACACCAGTAATATCTAATCCATCAAAATGGTAGCATGTTTTCTGAAACACCCTGTATTCACAACACAAGAAAAACTTCTGAAACTATCAAACCACGCTTTTTTGGAGCCAAAATGTATACGTATCCCGGTTGGTCTTTCCTCTCACATTTGTGACAAAAATAATGCAACAGAGCAACAATAAGCTGTATATTTCAAAACATAAGATTTGTACAGATGGAAAGTTTGCCTCCTAAAATACTTGGAAAGTGCTGCTAGAATTCCGAGTTAAGCATGATTTTACGAAAAATCTCGGTTCATATGTAAAAAATTCAAAACATAGTGCAAGGTTCGTGCGAATGTGTTGAATAATAATTTTACTGCCGGGACAGTTGGATTCTAGCAGCACTTTTAGGCAAAAAATGGACGTCACAAAGAGCATGTGCAGAAAATAACTTACAGCATTGTTTTGAGACTGAATTATTATTTCAAAGAATGCAGAAAAACGTACAGGCATGTATTGTATAAAATATTTCATAATATGTTAAAATTTGAAATAATGAGATAAAGAGTATTACAGTATTTGACAAAATTATTATCGTTTGAAATGGTATCAGTTATTTTGGATCACCCTGTATTTACATTCCTGGCCAATTCCACCATTGATCACTGTAAATAATAAAAAAAAATTATGAAAAAAGTAATCTGGACAACATAAATCAAAACAACAAATCAGTCACTTACAGATATCTCGATAACCATATGAAAACAAAGCAAAAATTGATAATTTTATTATTAACCATTTAAGAAATAAATAACAAGTTTATAAACTTCAATAGGAATTTAAGTGGTCGGTCACGTGATCAAATCCTGTGAAGGCAGGCCTTCTCAGAAGATTTGATCACATACCGACCCACTTCAATTCCCATTGAAGTTTATAAACTTGTTATTTATTACTTATATATAAATTTGAGATAGACAATTGATATTTTCGAATTAAATTATTGCACTAACCGTCCGTCAAAGATTTTGAAAAATGACGCAAAGTGTAAATCGGCTTGCATGGCGGTTTCGCTTCGAATTCATTAGGCTAAGGAATCTATTTCGAAGGGAATATTTTGTGAAAGGCTACTTGTGATCAGTAATAGTGAACAGATTGTTGTCTGGGAATATTTTTATTTGTGAAAAATGATAATCGATGCTGAAAAGACACAAGAAACACGTCCGAAGTTTGATGATAAAAATTTGGAGGAATTTCGGTCGCCGGAAAGGGATGGATGGATCTGAAGTATTGAGACACTTGTCCGAGCCATTCAATTTGCAATTTGATCTAAAGCATTCTACGGTTTCAGTAACTAAAGGCGTACTTATCGTAAAACACTGATAAACACGGAGACACTGGCCACAGCTTTACACTTAACTCCGAAAACGCCGAGGTGTTTGGTAGCTGTTCATGGCATGATTGCAATGATATTTTTCAACATATTTACACATATTTATGAAATATTTGTTTATATTTCAAATAAAATAATTATCTTATTTTACTTGCCTATTTTGTTCATTTTATATACAATGTATGTCGTGAAAAGCAAGTAGAGCAGGTCATTTTATAATTTATGTACCGGTAGATATTATTGCGCCGTGTGATTAGGTCACGTATTGACCTCTGACAAACTTCTTACAGAGTTGAAGATATTTCTCTCTGTATCTTTATATACTGGAGAGATACCACAAAGGTATGTATTTATTAATAGAATATATATTTTTTCTTTATAAAGTTTTGATAACATAAAAATCCAGATTTTAAAAAGAAAGCTAAGTTTTTAAAAAAATCTTGCAAAATAATGACCGTTTAAACATCCCCAGTTGTGGATTTTCTGCCGATTAGTTCCAAGGTTTCGTTTCCTTTTGTACGAAGGGTACTTGTTGCATATGGACTTGATTTGCAGTCCTCATTTATTTTATGTAGACAGCTTTGGCCTGATAAGAGTTGTCTGTAAAAAATAAAAATGTAGATATATATAACCATGAAAGAAAATTCAAAAGCAAACTCTTGAATTAAAGGCTGCAAATTTGTACTTATGCTCAGCACCAATGGCCATTAAGCCCAGATGAGCACTTTATATCTACATCGGATTTTTTTTTTTTGGTAAAATGATAGAGTAAGAATTTTTCTTTCTTTGCGGAACATTTTTAAATGGCAATTATAAAATTACAGATCGGACCAATAAACTTATATTTTCGACTGGAGTGTGGCAAAGGTAAAGGTTAAATGTCTGGATTCTAAATAAAATAATTCTTTTTTATTTTGGAAGAAGGTTACGCATTAGGTAAAGTCTGTTTCCTTCTTTTTCAGTCATTGGACATAATGTTTGTAAAACAAAATATTCGTTTATAATTTCTGTCAAACCATATCCAATGTTAATGTCAGACATGTTCATGAAAAATATATAACTTTTCCAAAGTAATTGGTTCTGGAAGTATTGCGACCTGAACAAATTTCCTCACATTATCAAGTATTTTTCAAGACACTAGAGTGTGTAATTTGTAATATAATACATATGGATTATAACACATATGAAAAGCCTTTTAAATTGCTTACAATTACAATTGTTGGCTTCAGTATTTTTTAAAACCAATTTCAATATCTTAAGATAATGGCAATCATGAATATTTTTTTTAATATAAGTTATATTTAGAGTACGAGTTTCCTACTGTATCGGAGATACAGGGCGGGGCTTGAGGCGACAGCTCGAGCCGGGCCCCGCACTGTATCTCCAATACAGTAGAAAACGGGTATTCTAAATGACTTGTGGCATGACCTTTCCAATGACCTCACCAATTTACATTCGTATTTGGGTACATATTTCTCAACCAATCAGATGATTTTGGCAGAAAGTTGATTTAGTATCCCATTTTAAGCATTCGCAACTGAAAATCCGAGTTAGGTGGACGTGCAGGTAATGATTTACTATTATTTTAAAAATAATTATTTGGGGGTTGGATAATATAATTTGTTTTCCAAAAAATAATTTTGATTTGATCGGGTAGGTTTTTTTTCTCTATTCAACTCTTGCTGATATCTTTTTTTTAATTTAAGCTACGAATTAAAGCAAAACATGTTTATATATAAGAATCATATTTCTGAAACAAAAATGCTTCGGGGATATCGTATTCTGAGAGAAAATGTCCGACAATGTCCTCCACCTGTCGTCATATACAAAATTGAAATAAACAGATGAAAGGAAGGGGGGTATTTTACTTTTTTATGTTTTTAATAAAATGTAGAGAAACCAAAGGAGGGTCCAGTACTCACAGGTGCCCACCATCCCACCCAACTTTTTTTTTTCTTCGTTTTTGCCAAACTTATATACATGTACATACGCTTTTTATCAACAAGTAACGAATCCACGCACATAGTGTCTTGTTAAATTATAAACCTCTCCCACAAAATGCGATTTTCCATTTTTTTTTTCGGGGGGGGGGGGTGTTTCAAAGTAATCGTTTTTTAATTGCCCCACTCCCTCCTTTCTAATTTTTTGGAATCCGACACTCATAACTTTACGTTGTAAAATTTTATTCTTAATTAAATCACCTCCAATTACTAGCAGTAGTATCATATGCATAAGAATTGAACGATTGTTGTGTCTGACTATGGATACAGCTTTTCGTCATCGCTAAAAATAAACCGTTCTGTATCGTTGATATTTTGCAGATACAGTAAACTTTCTGCTCATTTGCATAAGAAACGCCCACAAAAAGTGTTCTGTATTGCAGTTACAGTATGCTTGACTTCAAAGGAAAACCCGCCGAGTCATGTCACAATACCAATATATAAAACATAAATTTAGGAAACGTGTCAACTTATCTAATGTGGCTGAAAGATTGACAACTTTGCTTTAACACTAATCAATCAATCAAATGCTTTTCTCAAGGGAGTACATACTTGCATCTTTTTTCACTTGATGTTCGAACTGGTAAGTCACGCTCAAGTTGGGTACATTTGTCTATCTCTGAATATGAACATGTCGGTGCAACACATCCTAAATTATGGAAAATGAATGAAACTGATTATTATTACCCATTATTATAAACCTGTTTCATTGATGAAATTTATTAGCTTGGAATAATTGTATTAGATAAATGCAAAACATCTCAAAATTAATTTTTAAATGTAAAATCTTTGTCCATCATTCGGTAGTTGAGATTTAATTGTGTTATAATTATTTAAGAAAAAAATTGTCAATTTTTTCTAAACGTAATGATGGCAAAAAATTTTAAATCGAAAAAAAGAGAAAAGGAATTTAATTTTCTCCGTTCACTTACCCCACATTTTGAATTGTTCTTGATATGTGATGGACGTTTCAATTCCTCTTGCAAGAACAACCTTACTTCCATACTTCTTTGTTCCCCAGAACGATGAATATGAATATCCATAGGGATTGGATTTGCAGGCATAATTCACTTTCTCTACACAGTTGATTTGAGATAATGTATAACTGAAAAGAAACGTAAGTTTGTGGCTAGTCATTTCAATCTTTTGCTAACGTGTATGAAACGCAACATCTTCTTGCTCTTCATAATATAAAAGAAGATAAATTTCAACAAAAAGTAGGGTAAAAGATCGCATGCTATCGATCATTACTCTAAAAAATAACTGTAACGAACTAGATTGATCTTGTTCAAAATAAAGTAACTTTAATTTGAAAGTTATTTTTCACATGTGTATATATTCATTAGGGGTTTTATGCCTTACATGTATCTAGCTCAGATAATTGACCTTATTCCTACAAGTGACTTGATGAATATTTTTGCAAGCATCCGTATCGCCTGCGTGGAGCAGTGGAAAGAACATCTGCTCTAGAGTAGCGAAGTAAGGAGTTGACCCTTACTTCGCGGATTCGAATCCCACAGTGGGACGTAGAGTCCGGTCATGCGGATGAGACCGTATTAACCGAGGTTCCGTGTCGCAGTAGGTGCTGGTACGAATAAAATCCCTCACTGCTCAATGGCCCTGAGTGCCGAGTAAAGGTCAAAATTTGTAGCTTTCAACCGGTAAGTGGTAGCGTCTCCATATGAGTAAGAAATTTTCGAAAGGGAAGTTAAACAACAAACAAACATATGGAAACAGTATTATTTGGAAATAGGCTAACCACTCCCATTTAAGATGACATACTTGCATACTTCTGGATCTGCATCCCATACAGGAAATGGATAGAGCCAGCCACATTTGTTATACTCTTCATATGTACAAGTCCGAGCCTCACATCCTGTAAAATGCAGTATTTTTTTTTTGAATATTATTACATGCATATAACACATAAGAGAAAAGAATTGGGTTTTTTTTCTTCCAGTTTAAAAAACGCCTTTTGAAAAAAAAAATTCACTTACCCCCAAAAGAAAATAGATGCTATACATGTCAAAAATATGAAAGTTGATGGTTTCCACATTTTCGCCTTCTTTGCCAAAATAATAGCAGTGAAAGGGTGTCACAATACAGTAGAAAAAACAACGCTTTTAAAATCAACAGTTAGTTTTAAATCTTTGTCTTATCTAGTGTTTAAAGCTTTAAATCATTGTTCATGTTCAAAAAAAATCGCAGAATATCAAAAAAGATCTATGTAATCGCGGAAAAAAGAAATAATTGTCGCGGAAAACGAATTTTATATTTTCAGCAAAAAAAAAAAAAAAAAAAAAAAAATCACGGTACAGTTAGGTCGAATTCAAACTGAGTTGATATTAATTCTTGTTATCATGTACAACTGAGTCAAACCAGTTGACATTAATTGTAACATGTATAAAATTCTACTTTTTGTGAAGTAAATGTTTTGCTGAAAATATAATTTCTCTGCATTAAAGCATCATACCTGTATAAATTCACCAGGAAATCCCAATGTGAACAATCAAAGTAAATAGTCTGATCTTCTGCTCCGTATTTATACATTGCATGTGTTATGAAATATTCTCCTGTATTACTGCCTTCGTCAGATTTGTTTTTCTTCGGAAACTATAATTTGTTGTTTTGAAAAACATACATGCACTGCACAGAATAAATTACAATTTCATTTTTTTTTCAAAATATACTTCAATTGTGAAGAGAATTTTGTCTGGGCAATTACACTGATATTTAATATTGCTCTATGTTTATGAACGCTTAAACGTGCAAGTTAATCTCAAGCATCTTCATTTAAAAGATCCCATAAATTATCTGTAATTTAAGCATTTTTATTTTTTTAGACTTAAGAAAACCACAAAATAAATTTGTTATGACATTTACATGTGTTTACCTTGATAATAAAGTACTTTCTTTTAAGAAATAAACAACAATTTTAAAAAGTTCACTGGGAAGAGCTTCTCAGTAGATTCGATCACGTACCATCTAAAAGTTCATTTTCCAGTGAACGTTTTAATATTGTTGTTTATTACTTCTATGTACATTTGAGACGAATAAATTTCGAGTAAAATTGCATTTATACACGAACAGAACGCTGGATGGTTATGTTGTGACGCGCAATTATCCAAAGTTGTTTGGTCAAAGTCAGTTTACATGTACCTCGCTCCAACATTTGAATGTTTACATTCATGTTAAACTTCCAGTTCAGGAAGTATCTGTATACATGTATAATGATTTAATGGACAAACAATGATCGCTACTGCGAATAATTTAATAATTTAATAAGTTCATAGAATATTTAAAGTCAAAAGCGGCGGTATCGTCTGTTTTAGTTTACCTAAATCCAAAGGAATTTCGGGTTAAAGAGATAATCCACATCCTAAGAAGATTTATTGTAATTCTTGTGTTTGAACAATATCCATATTTTTATCATTTTATTTTTTTTCATCATAATTGACTTAGAAACATATCAAAACAAGTTGCATCGTGACAGAAATATGTAGACTATATCACCTCGCTCTGTGATTCGGTCGCGCTATGACCTCTTACCCTCAAATAACATTCACACAGAATTGAACATATTTTCTCTTCAGTAGTTTCATCTAAGAAAGATATTTGCAAATATAAATATTTTCGTTTATATGTGAATTAATGTTTCAGCTGTCGCCTAAGTAAAATACACTATTCAAATATTATCAGACAATGATATAATTGTAGAATTGTCTCTAAAACATACGAAATAAAATAAAGCGAAGGCTCATTACCTAGGTTACAGTCACCATACTTTTTTGCCTGATGTACATCTATTAATTTATTTTTCTACTTTTTATGATAATTTAAAAATATTTCTGCAATGATATTTCGAAAATTAATTTTTATTGTATTTAAGTAAAGAGGGCTATTTGATATGGATGTTGTTTACTTGGTAAAGCTTGTGCATCATAATAACAAACAACAAAATGTTTGTTTTTTACAAAAAAAATTAGGACATTAAAATTTTTTGATGCATAAAGTCTTTCATACAGTATCTCCCCCAACATTGGCGTTTAATGGACATTGCTTCATGTTATATGTCTAGTTTTAAGAAAACCTTTCGTAATAGAACTCTTAAAATATAAATAATTCGAAAATTATGCTTAAATGCATTTCACTTTGAAATTTTCATTTTTTTTAAGTTAAGATAATTATTTTTTAGAAAATATTAATAACCATGTTCAATCCTTTACCCATTGCATTGTTTTTAAAGGAGTGAACAGTGTTTACATAACTGTTAATATGATGATTTAAGCTTTAACTTTATCGTTTCTTTGCCGTCCACTTGGGTAGTTTCTAATCACTTCACTATTAAACCTAAAAAAAATCATTGGCGGATATAGAGGAGGGACAGGTGTCCCCCCCCCCACTTTGTGTCAAAAAAACACAATATTTAATGTCTGGGGGTAAAGAAAATTTTTAAAGATTGCATTAATTTTAGTGGTTTTGGCCCCACCCCCCAGGCCCAAGGGGGGCATGGATCATGAAATTCACAATTTTTGTTCCCCTTTACCCATAGATGCTTTGTGCCAAATTTGGTTGAAATTGGTTCAGTGGTTGCAGAGAAGAAGCTGAAAATGTTCATAAGTTTACGACCGATTGACGACGAACGACGGACGACGAGGACGAAAACAGAGTGACTCATGTGACCTTAAATATAGGGAATATACAAATTCTCCATTTAATAACATATTATTTCAATCCACAATAATTCAAAGATAAAACTCAAGTTCTCATACAGACATAAGCAGTGCTCTAACAGCTAAATATCTATTTAAAGGTCAACTGAAAAGATCCTTCACTTTCAATTAATCTACCCCTTATTATCTTCAAATAAATAATAGAATTCAGACTACTTTACTTATTTGGTTATATCTGAATGTATTTCCGAAATATTTACGGTAAAAGTTGTCACACCTGAAATCTGACCTAAAATTGCATGCGAGTTATGCCCCTTGACACGAACCCGCCATATTGAAACTATCGACGCTGAAACGTCACGATACAGACGATGGGAGATTGAAACAAAAAATATGGTCTTGTGTGCTGCGCCAAACTGTGATATCCGATATGGACAGGGTGTATCTATGTTTTCTTTCCCCGACGATCCCAAATTATGCCATATTTGGGTAAGAAAGCTCAAAACTGTTAATTACTGGCCATCCAAACACTCAAAGCTTTGCGAGCGACATTTTGCCCCCGACTGTTTTGTTACTGAGCCTTCAAAAGCGCGATGCATGGGGTACAGTCGACTGCAGTTAAAAAACGATGCCATACCTAGCATCTTCGACTACAGACCATTAAATACTAAAGGCCATAAAAGGAAAACAGCAGATGTAGATGTTTCATATGTACCAAAACAAGGTCGGAAATCGAATGCTCTGGAGAAAAGGCGTGCAATTGCAGTTAAGTTTTTTAAAGTTTAAAAATGGATATACAAACATTTTAATGCGTCCATAATTGTTTACATTAGTTTTAATAAAGATTAGGTTTGTCCATCATACTTTAAATTACAAGGTTATCTTTATACACAACTCCTGTATGAATTAGGCCTAGCCTATATATATTGGTTATAGTTACTAGGGCTGGGACGATATATCGAGATATCGATATATCGTGATACGTGTAAGGACGATACGCATATCGATACATATGAAGAAATATCGGAATATCGCCCCAAAAAATCTTACTTCTATTTTTCTTTGTTTATTTAACATTTGGGGTTTATTATATAAAATAAATAAGCTAAATATAAATATAGATATGAAATAAATAATAATTAACACCACTTGAGCAAAATATTTTTGTTTTACAATATATAAACAATTATTTTGAATAAATTATTCTTATTTGCAAAGAAATAATTTGTTTATTTCAATGCAAAAAAAGAATTTATCAACAATCAAACATATCGTGATACATATCGTATCGTGGCTCAAATATTGTGATATACATCGATATAGAAAAAGTTGAATCGTCCCAGCCCTACCGAACATGAGGGTTTTGCTGCCAATTGTCTCAACAGATGGGTTTTAGAGACATCCTTCTATGAATATCTAGAAGAAAATGGACAACTGGAAGAAAATGAATTAGTACACAAGTAAGTTTTTTTTTGTAAAATTTTAAGGTAATCCTGTATTTTATTCTATCCATACCGATAATTCTGATTGAAAGAAATACCTGGTATTAATTTAAGTACGAGTACGTAACAAGTTTAATATTTACCCAAGTTATACAGTATAACCTGGATTGAGACAGTTTACGCTATATTTTTTTTGTGTAAAAATGTTTAGCGTTCCAACCATGGTTATTCAGTATAACTTGAGTAGCTAATAAGCTCATTCCTTATAATTAATTAATTACTAGGAAAATAGACAATTCCACCTCAAATATGACATTAAATTTTACAAAATTTAAGTGTAAAGTCAAGCAAATTGATATGTTTTTGATGAAAGTCATTGTGACGTATGCAACCCAGGGTATACAGTTTGAACTACAATGTAATTTTCTAGCCAATCAAAAAGCGTGTTACAATCAGAATTTAAATACTGTCTAAACTAATAATCAGCACTAAAAAAAGGTGTATACTTTATAATTCTAAAGGTTATTTGAATGGCCAGTTTCTTAATTATCATAATCTTATGTCAAAGAATTTTGAAAAAAAAAATTGAGCTGGTTTTGCATGAATGTTTGTGTGAGTAGGGAGTGTACTGTAATTGTAAAGGGCTTAAGGCATACATTTCAAATAAAACAAAAAACAAAAACCACCAAAAAAATCGCTGAATTTAACTGTGCACATGTCGTAAGTTCTGATTAGTTTGTCTTTTCCTAGTGTTTACAGGCATCTTGCATATCGACGATTTGTGAGGTAGATATGGCAACGTTTGGGGAAAAACAACAGGAAGATATTGCCATCATGTGTAGTAAGAAAAATTAGTACTGCTTTCCCATCTCAGCAATACTGTGGATTCATAATGCATCCCCACCCTACCCCACTGATCATAATTTAGACACTTGAAAATTATTCTTATATATTCCTTCTTAAACTTTTGATTCCCCATTGTAGCCCCGCCCTTCCCCCGGGGGTCATGATTTGAACAATTTAGAATCTACACTATACCAGGATGCTTCCACATAAGTTTCAGCTTTTCTGGCCCAGTGCTTCTTGAGAAGAAGATTTTGAAAGATTTTTCCTATATATTTCTATGTAAGACTTTGATTCCCCATTGTGGCCCCGCCCTTCCCCCGGGGTCATGATTTGAACAATTTAGAATCTACAATACAGTACCGACCGGACACAACCTAACACCAGAGCGAACCCGGAGCGGACCCCGGGTTCGCTTGGGGTCCGCTTCGGGTTCGCTTTCAGAAATTTTGGGACCGCTCCGGGTGCGCTTTGGGTGCGCTCCGTGTTCGCTCGGGGTCAGCTCTGGGTCCGCTAGAGCGAACCCGGCGTTCCCTTCCTGGGACCGCTTTACGCACTGATGCGTGAAGCGGACCCCGCTTTAATCTCACCACCAGTTAGCCCCGCCCCTTGTTTATTCCAATACAGTAATGGTATTGTGGATCGATCATTGTTGTTTTTGCGAGGATGCTGACATGTACACTGTACATGTAAACAGTGATATAATGGAGAACATTGATAAATCTTCTAAAATTCAATTGTACATTCGACGAAGATTTATATGGACATGAATAATTGATTTCATTGATTTTTCGATCCCGAGAAATTAATTTAACCGCGGGTTATAAGGCATTTATTACTCTTAAGTTATAACGAGAAAACAAAAAAGAAGAGGAAGGAAAGAGTGTTGAATTGATTTTCAGTGTATCGAATGGTGTACAAGTGAAACTGACGAAAGAAATCTAAACTAAATACCTTTAAAATGCATGCTTTATATAGTTCAAAAATACATTTGTTCGCATCTATAAATTACATGTAACCTTTTGTACGTCTGATATATTTAGATTTCATTCATAGTAGTTACACATTAAAAGTTCGTAATAAATAATTACCGGACATTTTCTAAAAAAAAAAATACACTGTATATAAGATTTTTTTCACGGTCAGAATTTTGGAGCGAGTATGATTTTTATCAGAATAAAGAAAAAGGCAGATAATAATTGTTCTCCCGATCCGATAAGAATATATCAATA